TCTTGACATAGCTAACTCTTGAAGTGAAGTGTTGTGTCTCCTTTAAATCCTTAGTTGATACTTGTATAGTCTAGCCATATTGGTTTAGAAGTGACTAAATTGAGTAAGGTATGGAGTCAAGGAGTAAAATCCTTAAATTATTACTAGAAAAGTGAGCAATATGTGGAAGGTAGTACGCAAATTAATTCCATATAGGTTTAGTTGATGCATATTAATGTTGTGCATGATAGACTCACATCCAAGTTGTTCTATTCGTGATAGTGGTACTAGACTTTCCTAGTCTAATTAAGTGGAAAAATTTGAGAAATCATTATTGTGTTGAAAATGGATTGATATCCAAATGCTATGTTGTATGACCTAAAGGTGAAAAGTCTTATTGTATTGTTGATTCGGTAGGGTCAAGTTACTTGGACTACTCAATTGTATTGTAAGAGATCTCTTAGTTTAAATGCATGACGACACATATGGATGCTGTGTTGTTAAGTTGTTAAGTTAATGTACTAATATGTTGCTATGTTGCTAAGTGATAAAATGTAAATTTAATTCTTATAAATGATTATTTGTGTTGTTTTGTGTTGATAAACTGAGTAAATTATTGTTGTTGTGTTGAATGTTGTGAAGTTGTTTATATAGATAGATGATGACTTCCATATTATATGTTTTTTCTTCATACAAGTTTATTCTTACTTTTTCATGTTATTAGACTGGGATGATTATATTGTTATTGGAGCAAGGTAGGATTAAATCGGAGCATGATGTTGTGCCATGTAGGAGATGGTGTGTTTTGGTGGAGGATATCCTGTTACAGTAAGTTGTTGTTTGACCAACAACTTAGGATTTTATTGATTTCTAGTTTTGGAACTTGTAAATATATGTACAATATTATGTTGCAATATCATTGAGGGACTTTATGTTTTTAAGTTGTTATAAACAAAAATTGTTTTAAATTTTTTGTCCTATATATATATTGTTGCGTGAATATCCAAGTACTGCTTATATGAGAATCATAAATTAGATGATGTTTATGTTTTCACTACTTAATAGTTGTGTTATAGTAAGTGTAGTGATTGGCTGGATCATTACACTATTTTATCCTCAAATATAATTGATGGAAGAAAAATTAGAATACATCATAAGAGTATAACCATTTTTAAAAAGTGGACATCAAAAGAAGATATCATTCTCCTTTATATATTATTATAGATTTAGTAAATACTTTTTTTAACTTGTGAATTGCACATACTAAGTATATTTTTATACTTCAAAATCTTGTTTTCGATTGCAAATAGCTAATAGTTAATTTTATTCTAGGATTGAATTATTTAAATATTAGGTATTTTAATATTTTCTTTGTTCAAAAATAACATAGGAGAAAATAATTTGAAAGATACAAGTTTCAAAGGAGAACTATCTCTTCAAGATACATAAAAAAAACTTGCTCTAAGCTAATGAAATTCACTCAGGGGGATCAATAGCTCACTTTGAGCGAACCTTGTCAGAAAATAACCATAGAAGACTATACCAACTCGCCTAAAGTGAGCTATATGGACGCTTTAAGTGAGCAAAATTTTCTCAAAGCTACCACAAGAACCCTTTGAGCGAGTAAAGTCAAAGAGCATCTTTGAAAGCACGCATATACTCACTTAGAGTTAGCTACATAGATGCTTTGAGTGAACATATTAAACTTAAAATACCATAAGAATTGTTATAAAAACAAGGTCTCTAGGAGGTATCTATATTCCATTTCTCATTCTATATTCTTTTTAGCATAATTTGAGAGAGATTAGACAGAGTTTTTGTAAGCTCACTCTTGTAAGCACGAATCATCCAATCATTAGCGATTAAGTTTTCTATTGTTGGAGTTTGATGTAGCTATTATACTCATGTAATCTTTCCTGTTATCATTCAATATGTTATTTTTATTTGGTTAATCATTTTTACTTTGTACTTAATGCGTGCTTTGACCAATGCATAATTTTATAATTTTAAATAAGGTTGAAAAATATTTTCAAAATTACAATCTAGGTAAGACACTGTCTATTCTTGATTCAACACACTTCCATTGTAGTGTATGAGTAGATACTCTTATTTTCTCCTGAACCATAGTGATATACTATTTTGATCAAATCCTTGACTTGTTTATTTCTCTTGAAATCTTTTCAATGTTTATTTTTAGTTTTACACACGTCTTTTTTTAGGAGATCTACATCCATTATGTGGCATAGGTGTTACATCTCGTATAAAATTTAATAGTATATCACTTCTACGAATAACTTATTTCTTACGAATAGGAATAAGCCTTATTAGTCCATTTTAGATTTTAACCTTAACGCAAGTTGTTTAACAAAAATTATCAAAAAATTAAAATTTTTCTTAAACAACCTAGAAATTTTTTGCTTAAAAAATTAAAATAATCTAACAACTATTAATTAACGTATAATTTCTAATATTAAATGAAAATTAGAAGAAATTTACTTAGTAAAATCAATTTGTAACTATTTTTATTTTTATTTAAATTTAAATTCTTCATTATTTTGTTAAATATTTTTTTTATGTTTATCATTTTATAAATTTTTATACTTCACGTTAAACAATTTTAAATACTTTTAATCCATTTAGTTTATCATTAAATTTAATTAAATAATTATATTTCAAGTCTTTATAAATTTAATAATTTGAATTTTTTTAATTTATTGTTTACGATAATTGATATACTGTATATAATTTTTTTAAAAAATTTATTTATAAAATTTCTTTATTCTTATTAAAGAATTATATTAAAAATTTTCAATAGTTCAAGTGATACTATTTGATTCTCTTAAATATAAAATAATATAATTAAAAAATAATAATTAAGAACTATTTTTTTCAAAATATAGAAATTATGAAAATAAATTTTTAATTTACCTTTAAGCCTTTATAATTTAAAATATATTTTTTCAATTTCTATGCTTACATTGTTAATCATTTTTACTTTTTTGGTACTTTTTTTAACGTCATTTTCGTATGAATAAAAAATTTATATTAAAATCACATAATATAAAATATTTAATTTTATAGATAATATGTAACTTAATAATTTGAAAATAAATAAATAAAAAGTTCATCAATATTTATTATAATAAAAATATGATCTCCATCAATACTTATCATAATAAAATATGATCTATGAGAAATCGAATTAATGCTATCAAGTATAATATGAGTTAAATAACATCATTATCTATAAAACCAAATTCATTCATTATTACTATCAATTTAATATGACTACACATAATATAACATTTAAAATTAATTATTTTAAAATATAAAAATTAAAGATAAAATAAGTAAAATTATAAAGTAAAAAAGAAAAGGTTATTATGGAGTTTTGTTTCACTCGCACACCTAAAACTTTAAATCATACAAACTTTAAATCATACTTCCTCCGTTTATTTTATAGTTCATTTTGTCAAAATTTATTATTATTTTTAATTATTATTTTACTAAAATTAATAATTTATTAATTTTTTTCTCCATTTTTATCTTTAATAATTAATATATATTTATTCAACAATATATATATTTATTTTTAATGTTTATCTATTTTTTCTTCAACTATTCATAAAATTAATATATATTTATAAGAACAATATGTTCTCAACAAAATACTATAAAAAAATAAATAAATAAAAAACAATTATTTATAAGACTTTTTAACTATAATTATTAATTCATGGACATGTATAATTAAATACAATAAGTTACAATTCACATGAAATCAATACATTAATAATTAATAAAATTGATTACAATTCAACAATCTCAAAATGTAAAAAATAAAATAAAATGAAAAAATAAGTAATAAATATTTTTAAAAACTAAAATATTGTCTCCTACTGAACCTTAAACGACTATGAAAAAATCGGAAGAAATAACATACTTGGAAAAAAAAAAAAAAAAAAAAAAAAAAAAAACCAT